ATTGTCTACCGGGATGTGCCGGCAATGCCTGTCATGCAGTCATGTGAACATGTTTTTCAACACGTCCCCAATGAGCCCCTTGAAGGCGCAGAGCTTGAGGCTGTTGTTTATGAATCTATTGATTCTTTCGCATGTCCTGCTGACCCAGAAGAGCATGAGCTTGAGCCCCTTGAATCCCGAGACGAGCGCCTGAAGAGAGAGGCCACGTCACTTGAACACATGACCCTTCATGAGAAGAAGAACCCGTTCTGCGAACACTGCATTCGAGGCCGGATGCTCAAGCGATATGCAAAGTCACATCGTGAGGAACCCGAAGAAGCAGAGCGTGTGTATGAGCGGCCGACTGGTTTCGGCCATCTCATCGAAGCGGACAACATGTTCCCATCTGAGGAATCTCAAGGAAACGATGGGGAAAAGACGGCCTTAGTGGTGTTAGACAGGTTTTCAGGCGTGAGCTTTGTGTATCCCGGAAGGGATAGGTCTGAGGAGACGGTCTTCGAGGCCTTGAAACACTTCGGTGGCCACAGGTTGAACGGTGATCCGAATGTGGTGTTTAAATCTGATTCGGCCACCGAGTTGACGAAAGCGGCGGCAAGGCTATGCTGGAACATCGCCCCCTCCGTCCCAAGGTCATGGCCACACAATGCCCACACAGAGCGTGAAATACGGGCCATAAAAGAATTGTGTCGCCCGGCCCATTTGCAGGCTGGTTTCCACAAGAAGCTCTGGCCGTTGTCCGTTGTGTTTGCTGCAAAGGCACGCGCATTTTGGACTCCATGCATGGTTAGAGATTATGAGAAAGGCACCGATGTTGAGACGCTCAAGCAGGGCAAGTCACGTTGGCATGTTGCAACAGGCAGTGAGTTTCCTGGTCCCAAATACCCCCTCGGTTCCCTTGTGTTTTACCGGGCGAAGGGCGACGGCATGGCAGAGCCGACCACGAAACCTGGCTTGTTTGTTGGCTGGCGTGTTGATGCAGGACTTCGCTACAGAGACGTAGTTCAGGTTCTGGACTATGAGAATGTGAGGAATCGGGCACACCTTCACTGGAGCCCACGTGACATGTATGTGAAAGAGGTTTTCTTTCCACCCCTTGAGCACATCCAGTTCCCACTGGCAGTTGCAGCACGGCAGGCTTTGTTTAGCATGACTGATGCTGACGCAGAGCTTCGGAAGGCTGAGTACAACAGGTCGTTGGAATCCGGAGTTCTTCCATATGATGTGGTGATTGATGCGTTCCCTGTTGAGGATCGTCCAACACCGCCAAGGCACGCCTACATCACGTATGCAAGACTGCTTGAGCATGGTTTTACCAGAGGTTGCTCCGGTTGTTCTGGCGGACACTACCGCCATAGCAAGGCATGTCGTGAGCGTTTTGATGGTTTGTTCCCAAGAGAGGCAGGCGCACCCCCAACGCCCGCTACCGGAGACCCAGTTCCACGCACTCCGGCTCTCACTCCTATGCCAAAGTCCGAACCAGGCCCTCATACTACTTCCTCGTCGTCGTCCTCGGCATGGGTTGAACCACCGCCGGTTGAAGACCCGGAATATTCTCCAGAAGGCCGCCCAGAGGAGGAAGATATGTCGGCAGGAGTCTACGCATTGGTCACTCGGCAGCTTGGCAGGAGCGAGGTGTTGGCCCGTCCTGACGCTTTGGAAGCGATCAGGAAGGAATTTCGTGGGGTAGGTGCTATGGGGACCTGGGACCTTGAGACGGTCACGGAGGAGGCAACTGTAAGACGTGAGGCACACCAGGCAGGCGAGACCATTCATTTGGCTGACCTGTTGGCCATCTGTTCGGAAAAGAACATGGAATTGGACAGCTCGTTTCGCTCGTTGAAGGGTAGGGTTTGCTTTAGAGGAGACAATGCCAAGACCGCTGACGGTCGTGCCGCCTTCTACCAGACGCTAGCTGCAAGCCCGGCAAGCATAGTCGCTGCGAACGCCATCATCTCGTACGGAATGATTGAGGGCCACAGCACGACATCGGCAGACGCCATTAAGGCGTATTTACAGTCGGACTTGAAGAGCTTGTGTCGCACTTGGGTGAGGCTACCTCAGGAACTATGGCCAGAGAGCTGGTACTATGATTCCGGCAAGCCCCGCTTCCGCAGACCAGTGATATTGCTGAAGAAGTCGTTGTACGGTCATCCAGAGGCCGGCAGTCATTGGCAAGCTCACTTGGAGAAACAACTGCAGTTGATGGGCGCAATAGCTGTCCCCGAGTATGCCAGCGTGTTCACCTTCCCGTCGTATGGTGGTTTGGCACTTGTGGTCTACGTCGACGACCTGTTGTTGTCGGGCCCTAGTGGGCAACACGACCGCTTCTGGGCAGACTTGGCAGAGCTTGTGCAGATTGAGGATGTCGGACCGCTTGGTAGGTTCCTAGGAAGACACCACTCCATCGTGAAGGTTGACAACCAAGAGTACTTTGCTTTTGACATGAGGGCATACGCCCAGGCGACAATAGAGGAGTACTGCAAGACCACCGGCTGTTCCAAGCTGAAGGAGGCCACTTGTCCCTTTGTCACGAAGACCTCAGCAGACGATGAGGTGCGTGGTGAGTTGGCGGACATCGCATGTGGCATTCTCATGCGGTTGATGTGGATTGCACGGCTGGCCAGGCCGGATGTCTTGAAGGTGACTACTTGGTTGGCTGGTCGCGTACATGCTTGGACCCTAGCTTGCGATGTGTACTTGCACAAGGCCATTTGCTACTTGAACAGCACTCAGGAGGCGCTCTTGCTAGGACATGTTCGAGACTCCATGGATGATTTGTTTGTTGAAATGTTCGTCGACGCGGACTACTGCGGAGACGAAGAGGACACAAAGAGCACCACAGGAGGATGGCTACAGCTGTCCGGCCCGGCAACTTCGTTCCCAGTTGCCTGGTGCAGCAAGAAGCAAACATCTACATCACGGAGCACAACAGAAGCGGAAACGGTAGCATTGGCATATGTGTTATTTGAGGAGGGAATCCCATTAGCGGAGCTCTTCTCGGCCATCTTTCAACGCCAGGTCTTGCTGCGCATTCGGGAGGATAATGAGGCATGTGCCAAGGTTTGTGCCGCAGGGTATTCAAAGAAACTCCGTCATCTGAAGAGGACGCACAAGGTCAACCTCAGCTCTATAAAGGAGCAGCTGGATAGGCCAGATGTCGAACTGATGATCGTAGGCACAAAGGAGCAGAAAGCAGACATCTTTACCAAGCAGCTAGAGGCACCACACTGGCCGTTGGCTTTGTACAACATCCAGGTGCAGATAGCAGGCTATGAGGTGGTCAGAACAACACAAACTGGGTTGAAGGTCGCGAGCATGGAAACCCACGCCCTCGAGCCCTCTCCGAACCCGACAGTGGCGACCACGTCGTACAAGAAGAAAAGAAAGACAAAGAAGGCGAAACGCATTCCGCCATACACAATGGCACCGAATGCAGAAGCTGAGGTAATGGCAGATGGGCGCACTTTGAGGCGCGTTGCTGCTGTCAGCCATGGATGAAGAATGTCTCACATGCCATGTCGTAAGACTCGTGAACGGAGCTTGAGCCGAGGGAAGTCTGAGCTTGAGCACCGAACACTTGTTCCTTGCTCCAGAGGGGGGAGAAAACCACCCTCGGTTAGAACCATGGTTTGTAACATGTGAGAGATAGCATTGGCTACCAGCTTTTCCCCTTGCTTGGTAGCATTGGAAATTGATGCTGTATGTAAGCATTGCATTGCAGTTTGCAATGGCATTCTGGAATAGCAGTGGCAACAATGCCATACCGTTACACGTAACCTTGAGTGAAAGCACTGCTGTATAGACATCAGAGACAGAAGTCAAACACAAACTTCGTTTGGCTCAAGTGTGAGAGGAAACTTGTGCGGCAGCTTGGGTTCGATCGCTCGTTGCATCGTATCGTGACTTTTGCTGTACATTGCTCACATTTGGAAGCATATATACATTGATCTAAGAATCTACTGCTAAGTACTCTACTTGTTTGGACATCCACTGCCTGGAGCGTTTTTTTTTTTTTTTCGGAGGATCCTGGCAGTCGAGATCTTTCAATGTTGACTGACCCAACTGGAAATCCGTTGCTCGAACGGGATCTCGACTCGTGACCTGTCGACCTCGGGACCTGCAGCTTGTGGCTTTGCAAGCCGAACATGTACTCGTACAAAAGGAAGAAATGCTCCAAAGGCGTAGATGAACTGTATAAACAACGACTCAGCCTTCCATAGTAGTTGCTCCAAAGATGTATAATCTGTAATTAGATTGACATCGCTTTGGAATGGATTGGTTCGTGCGACCCTCACGAACCTAGGGGTCGTGAGATACCCAGACCTGCCCATCATCGACCGAGTTATAGTCTAGGCACCGGTGCTATAGACTCTATAGACTTTTAGGAGCCGAGGACGCAAGAGAAATAATTCCTTCCAGTGACAAGATGGGGTGCCAAACTTGGAGGAGGGGTGCCCAGCTACTCCACTCACTTACGGACTAAGCACCACCCCTTTGTGACTCCTTGAACATCCTTTGGATTAACACATTAGCCACTGGAGCGGCACTTGGCACAGCCCGATTCAGCCCGATTCAAACATGTTTCTTCATCAGGGCTTGATGACTCAAAGAGGGTGATTTACTCACGGAAAAAAGGAAACAGACTGACTTACCTATAAGACTTATATAAGATCCTATAATAAGTCAGACCCTGAAAGCCTCACATCCTTTCAGCTGAAAGACTGCAGCGGACACAGCTGCGGCCGCTATGCCGTGACGCCGAAGAGCACCGCCAGGCACCAAAAAAAAAGAAGGCCCAGACACATAGGACTAACAGTCCTGACTCCCGATGCGAAAGAACAGATGTGATGCGAAAGAACAGATGTGCATCCTTTGGAGAGTTTGGGTGACGGTCATGATGAATTTCACGTTACTAGTTCATTACTCTTTTTTGCCGAAGATCCTCTTGAACTCGACCCTTCGCTACCGCGCCGCTGAGCCCTTTCGCCGAGGGAAGCTCCATGGCCAAGGCGCAGCTGGAACGGCAACCAGGAGAATCCTGTGACGGGTGCAGCATACATACATGTTAGTTGTTCAGTTGTATCGATAAACACCATAGGTTGCCTTTGGCAAATGTTCACCTTTCATTCCATTTGCTCATGTTCACTGAGACATGTACCTTGGATTCCCATGCCTTTTGTGGCTTCAACAGAAGATGCTTCCCATGCTTCCCATGTTCACCAGGTCATACCAGGTCCAGTTTCATGTAGTGCTGCAATTGTCGCTAGAAATCACAAGCTTCTTCCTTTGCATTGAAAGACAGACTGCATCCACATGGACGGTCGGTCATGGTGCAACAAGGGGCCATTCTTCCATGTTTAGGTCAATGATCAGACGGGCAAGCAACTGAAAGATGCAGGATTGCTCAACTCTTTTTCCTCGCCTTTGGCTCGAGCAAAAAAGTGAGTTTCACGACGTCGTCGAAGACTCTCGTGTCGCCCAGCGGGGTCAGAATACCAACCTCCCAGCTAGTGGTGTCGTCCTACATCAGAACTCTCGACCCTGAAAACAACAGGATGATGCCTCACTGAAGCCTTCACAACAGGATGACAGCTCGCCGAAGCGTGGCGACATCGTTGGAACACCACACGTTGGCACTCTTGCAGTGCTGTTTCAACCGATTGAGTCATGTTCTAAACGGATGGCTTTTCAGTGCGAAACTCGACATCAAGAGGACTGAGGAAGCAACCAAAGCCCCGAAAAAAGAACGACTCGGTGTTGAGCGAACGGCGTGTAGAATCGCGATGGGCCCGGCGAACAGCTCCACCGCGTCGCTCGGTACTGGAAGATACGCCGCGAGCCGCGAGACGGGGGGTTGAGGTGAATTATTTTTTGAATTTTTGAAGAGACTGTCTTAAGACATGCATGTTTGCATGAATTTGTTTCAGAATGTTGCAGATTGTTCTTATACATTATGAAGCCCCACTGCCACGCCCACGCGCAGTTCCGAGGACACCTTTGTTTTCGGGAACAGACAGAAAAAGACTCTCAGGTGCTTCTCTGCTGAGAGTCGAGTCCCACAAAATGGTCATACGGTCATACGGTACTTTTCGTCATAAATTAATTATAGCGTTATATTTGAAGATGCCCCGTAGATGTGTGGAAACAAAGTATGCTGAGAGAATGGGGATGTACAAGTATACCCTGTTTTGTGTTCAGGTCATGGTATCCATTTTTCTTGAGGGTGCGAACGTCCGGTCCCGGAAGATGCTTTGGAGCAAAATGTCCATGTCCGCCCCAAGGGGAAACCGCTGCCTCTTTCAGGCGAGCGCGCGTGCAAAGCGCACCCACTAGCCGTTTGTGGGCCACACTGGCCTTTATTGCCAAGAGACTGGTTGGTTTTGAGATGATTCGGGGGTCACAGTGACCACTGCGGACCATCCAAAAAGAATAGACTTACCCTAGGGCTCCAAGTACCTTCTAAGAAGGTGGGACTGGGGTTGGTGCCATGAGGGTCCAGTCATACCGAACCTGAGGAGGTTTGGAGCCCGGGTTAGACATTTGAGGCGGTGTCGACCGAAGCCTCGAGCTGCAGGGGGTGAACTGGTAGACCTCCGGTCACCAGGTTGGTGCTTTCCTATGTCCAGAGGGAACAAGGTTGGTGCTATAGAGGGAGTTGTTGACAACGGGTGATAGTTGGAGGTCTTTCACTGACCGAAATGATCATGTTCAAGGAGTGGACCAAATCTCACCGCCCTGGTTCAGGTCGACCCAAATCCAGGCTCTTTTTGTTGGGTGTGGGTGCATACGCTTTTTTGGGGGTCAAGTCCAGCCAAGTCAGATGTCATGTGTTGTGATTTCCTTACTCATCACATAACCCCAGGCGTCCACAGGTGCTTCCACACTGCTACTGCTTCCACACTGCTCTACACTGCTCCTTCCACCATCCGTCGGGTCCATCCTGCGGGTCTCCCAGACACTGGCTCTTCGCCACCCCTAGGAACTCGCTGCTGACGACGATCTTCACGGATGACTCGGAGGACACGTACTGGGTGACCATCCATAAAGGTGCACCGAGCGCTCGCGGAGAGTGGCCGAGAACGGGATGTCTCAGTCGGGATGCCGCAAGACGAGGTGTTTTGTTGCTCCCATCACTATGGGGAGGAAAGGAACTGAACATCCACGGATGTTCAACACATATTGACATGTAACTTCGTGTAACTCAATAGTTCTTTGTGGGGGTTGTAGGGTCAAATGGTCAAATTACCTTGATTTTGGGATGTCTGGTTCACAGGAAGCAGTTGCTCCACTCTGTAGAGATTCCGATCAAGCCAACCCACTGATTGTGTGGGCAGGGCAGCCTGGCAGCCTGGAGCTTTTCTCATGAAAACCGGGCTAGGTGATCCCTCCCAGGGACAAATCCAGTCGCTTTGTCATAACCCTCTAACACGTGATGCTTCCAACATGCATACAAGCCCATAAATAAACCCCACAAATTAAGAGGCAAAATACACCACCCACAGATGGGTTGACCCTCAAACACACATTGCGCATACAAAAGAAAAACACAGCAAAGCGCTGTGACGCTGTGACCTCCATCATGATGAGTCGTTTAATCATGAAGTCTCAGACACATTGAAAGACGGATGGCCGCGCTCGCATCATGTGACGTGACTCGCATCATGTTGAAAGACTCGACAGACTGGTGTGTGCATACCCGCCGTATCGGGTGGGGGTGAGGCGGTTTGAGTGTGTGTGTGTGTGTGTTGTGCAGCCAAGCCCTCCCGAAGTTCCCAAGAACCATGCAGTCTGTATGGAGTGGAGTGGAGTGGAGTGGACACCCCTGGAATGGCCTTGGCAATTGTCTCGTTCTTCTTTACTTCCACCACCTGGACCATCCGACCATTTGGGTGTCCTGGCTGGACATCTCTAGGTAGTACAGGGTAGTCCAGCCAGGACACTCAGATGGTCGGATGCTCCTGGTAACCTTCGTCTTCCTTCAACTCGCCATCGATTGGTCAACTGGGAGGCTTAGAAGGGGACCAAGTGGAGGTCCCGCTGACGCCCCGGATGCCCTATGCTCAAATGGAGCAGCCACGTGGCCCACACGACGGGCGCGTATTTGTCGCGCGTGTGGTCGGATCACGTGATCGCCAGAACCTCGAGAACCCCCCTGGCCCCGCCTGTGTTGGAATCTGAACAAACACAACTTGAAGGTTCGCTGCCTGAACCTTCATTTTGCAGCACCTTGGTTTGTGGTGGTTCTTCACCAGGGAATAACCATTCATTGAAAGTCCTTAGAGAACACTTATGGAGCTGGATCACTTCGTGAGAACGCGCTTCCAGCGGCCGTCGCTTCCGACCTCTCTCACTCGGGGGCGGGCGTCCACCGAGGATCTTGTTGACGCAGATGTCGGCAGATCCCACGTTGCGCCTGGGCGCGCGTAGTAGTGCGGTGGGGGGGATGCGGGGGGATGCAGGTGGATGCAGGTGGAGTTGGAACACGTTCAATTGAAGTTGGAGGTGGTGAACGTGGTTGATTTGTGTGCCTTCATTAAATTTGTGTTGGACATGTGTTTAACGTCCACGATCGGTCAAGAACAGGGAGGTGGAAGCTCCTACACCCTGAGGCTCCAAGTACCTTGTGAGAAGGTCCAAATACCTTCTGAGGAGGTTTATGCTGGAGCCCTAAGGACAGTTTTGAAAATATGAGTTCAAGATACTTCAAGCATTTTTCACGCCACAGGGAGCAGCTTGCAGAACAAAAACTTAGTTGACCCTTTTTTGTTGGGAGGAATTGGTTGAATTCGACTTAGACCGATGATGACGTATTTGCCTCTTACGTTGGGGATTTGTGTCGATCTATCTCGTTGATACCCACAACGGCTGGGTCTTGCACGGAGCTCCGTTTTTATCCCTGCGCTCCGTGCAGCGCCCAGAAATCAGCCCAGAAATCAGTAGATCTTTGGCAGTTGGAGTTCGACTGGCCCTAGGGCTCCAGTCGCACCTTCGTTTTGAAGGTGGGACTGGGGTGAGTGCCAGCCAGTCCGGCTGGAGCCCGACTGGGTGCTATTTTCATCGTATGAAGGATGGGGCGTGACTCCAGATGAGTCCAAGTAGTCCACCATATGTAGCGAGCGAGCTTGACCGACATTGGCGCCAGGTCCGGAGGCCCTGAGCTCCCCAAGTTCAGTGGTATACGGACTCTCATCTCCCATCTGTCTCACCGACCCTGACCTGACCCTGTTCTCCTCTTCCAGCACCTGCCAGATGATATCCAGGTGATATACCAGTACACCATGAGTCAAACAGAGGTCTGAAATAGGTACTCCATGACCCAACCACATGTATATAACCATTTCCCAGACACTCACTCCGTAATGGGTCTGCCATATTTGCCGCCCCATTGGAGTGGTAAATATGCCAGGTCCCAGACAGGTCGTGTTTGGGTTTGCCATGTGGTCTTTGCTCCGACTCTCGTCTCCCGCTTCCAAGGAGTGTGATCCTGTCGGCCGATGGCCAAACGATCGATTCCAGTGCTCAACTGATCGAATGCCACCAGCAGGACGGGGTGAGGAATAAAGTTAGATCACTTTCCTTCAGGTTTCGTGGACAACTTGAGATGTTTTGGGATCGGGATTCAAAGAAACGTGGTCCAGTACGCTACCATAGTGCAAATGTCCAGGTGTACATGCCTGGATCCTGAAAAGGATGTTGATTGTATTCGTCTCGCCGGACAACATGACGCATAAAGATGCAGAACATCCATGACGAGCCCCAACATGTTTGCTATTGTGTCTATTTGCACTGCTATATCATATATCACTTGCTATTACTCAAACTACTTACTATATAGTACTTGCTATTACCTGCCATTACTTTTGCTGGACAACAGTTGTCAACTCTTGCCTTGTGTCTTTCACGTTTGTCGGTTGAAAGCTACATCTGAAGCGACCTGGCCGCCATGGTAGGCGAACTAGCTGACGAACATATATACCTAGATTTGCATCAACCCCCTCCATTCCAAGAG